GACATTTCTTAAATAGAATTCCCATAGTAACTAGAACAAGTAAAAAAAAAAAAAAAAATCACAAGACAATAGATTCAGATTATCATAAAATGTCCATTCTTAACAAAGAGACTTTTCTCTAGAGTGACTCCTTTCAGATTAGCATAAAGCTACATCATCATCAATATTATTTATTAAAATTTCATTTTATATGACAAGAGGAAAGCATGTAAAATCTACAAATACAAAGCAAATGAAGTACACATGATTTGTGCCTTTCAAGAGAAACCTAAGCTTCTCACATACACACTTTCTAAAGTCCAGAAAGGTAAAAATTTGCATTTCAGAACTCTAGACATTTTGCAGTGGGTACTGAACAGTTGGAGAAAAGTAAGCACTTACTAGCAATTATTTGAGTCAATACGAAATAGCATATTGCAGCTTTAAGGTCTAACAAACCTCAGTAAAAATTGAAATTATGAATCTGTAAAATGAGGATGATAATAAAAATATCCATAATTATTGGAATTATAAAAACATACTTTCTGTACCTAATGTTTTCTGGCATTAGCAGGTACCTTGTTAATATGGGTGGTATCATTTTATTCGTTCAACAAATATCTCATACAACCATTACATATCAGGTTGTGTATTATATGGAAAAAATGGAAAATAAGTAAGTTAGAATCCGTGTCTCATGGGATTTCCAGCAGCAGAATTTATGTCATTGATTGTTTATCATTTTATTTTAGGCCCTTTGCTAGAAATGTACAGGGTTTGTTTTTGTTTTGTTTTGTTTTGTTTTGTTTTGTTTTACTTGTGGAGAGGTGATAGACAAAAGTGTTAGACTCTAATAGGAAACTGAACTATAAACCCAGAATATAAAGTAGGGAATTTGGTGTTAGGGTTTAGGAAATAATTTTTTGGGAAATAAATTTACACCGGGAGCTGTGGGGTAAGATGAACAGGTATTAGCTAAGTGAAGGTGATAGGGAAACAATTCTAGAACAGTACAGACAATACTAGTGAAGCTCTAAAAAAGGAAGAAGGATGGTGTTTCAAAGACAGAAAACAACATTAGTGTCACTGGAGTGTAAGGGAAAATGGCTCGAGATGGAGAGGGAGCCGGGGCAAGTGCCTGGTCAGGAAGAAAAATGTTGACTATGTTAAGCACTTTGAGTTTGGCTTTTAAAATAATGCGTAGTTATTGAAAGATGATTGATTTTTAATTTTAAGATTTCTCTGCTGAGGGCAAAATAATTAGAAAGAAAAAGAACACGGATATAGGGGAGACACATTGGGAGGTCATTGTAATATCCCAGGCGAAATAGGTAACTTAGAATGGGTATGGCAATTACAATAATAATTTCATTAAGTTTTATGAGTTAGTAAGTAAATTGTATGTAGGCACAAAGAAAAGGTTCTTCACCTTGACTTAGACAAGGAAGCATTCTGACTAAAAATTTGTGTTTTATCTAAGTTCTATCTCATTTTTTTAGTAGTGCGTTCTATTGAGCTTTTATGAATGTCGAGCAGTAGATAGTCTGGATGCTACTTGCCCTTTCCTTTATGAATATCCCTCTAATATTCCTTGGGGAAATTGCTTTTTGTAAAGTCATTATTGAATTTCTATCAAGATGCCATGTCTGAAAACCAAGGGACAAGACAACTGAACCCTCTTCTTGAATTCAGAAGCTTTAGAATTCAACAAAAGGTGGAGACAATTTGGCTGTTGATTATTCTTAGCAGGTACTATCTGATAAAACTACCAATTAGCTTCCTCCACGTGGAGCCTTAACTCTGCCACAGTTCCAGTTTCTTCCAAATTTGTTTTTTCATTATTCCTTTAAGCTTTATTTTAAATCTATTTCATGTGTTTACAATAAGTTGATATTACACTAAAGCCAGCCAGAGACGGTTTCTGTTGATTGTAACTGAACAGACGTGTACTAAGTGATGTATATCATGTAGACTAAGCTTGAGGACCTCCAGGAAGAAATGTTGAAGATCTTGCCACGGTGCAGTGGTTCTGAACTTCTCATGGATGTAAAATAGACATGGATTTTCTTCCTATAAAAATTTATATATGCACAAACACAGGATACCTTGCATACAATTTCCGGGAGTTCATGAACCCCCAAATCCCTTCCCTAGAACCCCTAAGTGTCAATGGAGCCCAAATTAAGAACACCTGTCCCAATATGCAATTCTCTCCACAAAGCAGTAAAAGACTCAGATATTCTCCACATTTATCTCAATCTTAAACTCCACAAAGTAGGTGATGTAGAATGTGAAGAAAACAATAAAACAATAGTTGACCTAAAGCACAATTGGTTTAGGAGCACTTTTAATTTAAAAAGAATTAATAGTAATTTCTCCTTCTTCTTAAAATATTTGTATGTAAGTATTTGGCTTCAATTTACATGATGTACATGTAAATTTCATCTGAGATGGAAATTACTGAGGCTGCCTAGGAATATGTCAAGGCCTTAACAAAAAGTTAAATCTTAGAAACCACATAAAAATAGTGAATATTTGTAGGAATCTCTATAAACATTCTACTATCTTCCAAATTGAGAATTTTAAGGATACGTGTACTTTTTGTGCCATTGTATCAAAAAAGAAAACGTTTTAGTTTTAATTTTCATAAGCAGTCTAATTTCTGCTCAGAATTGGCATTCAGGAATCTATTAGTCATCAAACAGAGTAATTTCTGACTTCTTGGGTAATAATACTATTATCATTGCTGTAATTTAGAGACACCATATGTTGCATTAAAGTACTTAAAATGGGCATTTTATGAAATAAACTAAATTACAATATTTGGAAAATTTGGGGATAATGAGGGGAGAATTTTCAGTTTTGGAGAAAACATTGAGTGTAGCACAATATTGGTTTCAATTATTGTGTCACTGATTTAATTTAGAGAAATCTTTCTCAACTAACCTGAAAATTATAGACAAACACAAACTGATAACCAACTGTGATATCACCTATAGAAACTCAGTGACATTTTATTGTTATATTCACAAAAATTGCTATGAGTTAAATGAAAAAAAATCCAAGTATCTCAAAACTATGCTTTGTTGTTCAATATCAAATATTTTTAAATTTATATAAATAAAATGTATTTAATCCACATATTTACATTTACAGAATTACATATATTTTATTTAGCATTTCTATGACAGAGTTAGGCATCACCATCTGTTTAAAATGCATCACATTTTTTGAAGATCATGAAAGTTGTCAATGTTGTAATTCTATCACACACTTAAAATAAATATGTGAAATGCATTTCATTAGACATGCAACATATGCAGCCAGTGGAAAATAAAGATTGTTTCCGTATGGGACTCCGTAGTCTAACTGCCTTCAAAAAGATAACTCAAATGTAATAGATTAGGATCATTTTACAGACTGGATGGTAGCATTTGGATTTGGAACAGAAAAAAAAGCAACTGCTTATTAAAGTGACTACATTACTGCCACTGTAATTTGCACAACAGATCCTAAAGCTTTGATACCCAAGATTCTGTATTCAGTGTTTCAAAAAGCTAAATAGAAATCAGGTTAATTGTCTCCCAGTCTGTGTAATTCAGATGAGCCTGGTCGTTTCACACAAAGGATGTGCTGATCAGCATGCTGACCTGCAGGTTATCAGAAAACATCTAAGATTCATTTTTATTTTATGGTTAAACCAATCTGTTTTCCAGAGATTCAAGATCTTGCAAATTAGCCCCTCCAGACACTGGGAAAAACTTGTAAAGGCTTTTTTTTCTCTTCACCTGTTTGAAATGAGAATGAAAAACAAGTGTGAAAGTGCTTTAATATTTCAAATCTTAAATTCAGGACTTTGATCAAAAAAGAAAATCTAATCAAGATACACAAAGCTAAAACATAGTTAGAGGTATAATATTTTATTTGGAGCAAATCTTGGACTAATATGGTCTTACATACAGTCTAAAAACATAAAAAACCTATGAAAAAGAAGATATTTAATCCCTAGGGAATAGGCAGGCGTTCTTAAATTTAAAAGTTCTTCTCTATGAATTCTTTATTATGTGTTCTAAAGGAAAAGCCCTATCATTTTTTCAGTAGATGTATTCCATATTTCTCGAAGCTCTGGATTTCCATTGTGCTGCCTTTAATCACGGGCAATGTCTAGGCTGTAGTCTGGGATTTCAGGAAATTGCACAAGTAATTGTCATCACAGACAGCTTAATTTCTAGTGTAGTGATGACACAACAATTTGCCCAAGGCCAAAGTAAAACAGAAATGTCTTTTATAAAACAATGGGTGGTTTATTCCATAGCTTTGTATTTTATTATAATAATATTACGGAATGTAAAAAAATGGAAATTTAAGTTGAACTTCAAAACATTAATGCAATTGATTGCTTGGGAATTATTCAACATTGTTATGATGAAGTAATCCTATATTATACTCTCCCTAACACATATGGACTTTTATTTATTTAAAAAAGTAGATATTACATAGCCAAAAATACAGGGAGAAAGTATAAATAAAAGCAAGAATATAAAATGTAATATCTAGGGACTTACATTTTTCACAATTGGAAGTCAAAGACACTTATTTCAAGTACTGCTCTGCTGCTGTGTAGTTTTAAAATCCTGATAAATTTATTAACTTTGGATTTTAGACATTAATCTTGCAAGATTCTCATAATTAAAAATGAGATTAGCCCGGCCCATGTGGCTCAGTGGTTGAGAGTCAACCCATGCACTAAGAGGTTGCTGGTTCCATTTCCGGTCAGGGCACATGCCCAGGTTGTGGGCCCAATCCCCAGTGGGGGGCATGTAGGAGGCAGCCAGTCGATGTTCTCTCTCATTGATGTTTCTGTCTCTCTCTCCCTCTCCCTTCCTCTCTCTCTAAAAATCAATAAAGGAAAAAAAAAAGATTAAATGAAAAAAATGGGTTTGTAAGCCATTTACTATGATACCTACCACCAATTAGAAGCACAGTAAATGACAGCTATTAAATGTTTATCTAGGCAGTTTTGTTTTCCTCTGCTTCCGGGCCCTCTGCCGCAACCATGCTCCACCAGATCCTCAGCCAGGCCAAGAAGCATCCAAGCTTGATCCCCCTCTTTGTATTTATTGGAGCCAGAGGTACTGGGGCAGTGTTATATGCCACATGCCTGGCATTGTTCAATCCAGATGTCTGTTGGGACAGAAAGAACCCAGAACCCTGGAATAAACTGGGTCCCAAAGAGCAATACAAGTTCTACTCAGTGAATGTAGATTACAGCAAACTGAAGAAAGAAGGTCCAGACTTCTAAGTGAAATGTTTCACTATAAAGCTGCTTAGAATGAAGGTCTTCCAGAAGCCATCCACACAATTTTCCACTTAACCAGGAAATATTTCCCCTCCAAAAGCTATGAAATCATGTTGGTGTATTATGTTGCGGTTTACACTGATTAATAAATATTTGAAACTTGAAAAAATACAAAATAAAAAAATAAATGTTTTTTTATAACTCTATCATGCAGATCTTTGAGCCATACTTCTATAAGACAGAATTTAGAGTCCTGAGACTATTAAAATTGTAAATGAATAAGACATAAAATGCTATTTCTCAGAAACAAATACTTAATTATAATGTGTAATTAACAATCTAATATGTTTTAAGGATAAGGAGAAAATTGTGGTTTTTGAACAGGAACTACTTCAGCGCCTTGTCATGTAACTCCAACTGTTTCTTTGCTCTTCAATGTCCTAACTCCTGAATTTTATTCCAATACATACTTTGGAAACCTCAATAATATTCACTTATTTTACTTAAACCAAGTTGCATAGATTAAAACAAATATGCAAACAAACAACAGGCCTTTAAGGAGTTTTATAAGTTCTTTATAAATTTTGGATATTAGCCTCTTATCAGATATATCTGTGTATAACATATACACATTTATAAAGAACTTATAAAACTCAACACCAGAAAAACAAACAACCCAATTTTAAAAAATGGGCAAGGTACCTGAATAGACACTTCTCCAAAGAGGTCATACAGATGGCCAATAGACATAAAAAAATGCTCCAAGTCACTAATCATCAGAGAGATGTAAATTAAAACCATAGTGAGATATCTGAGTGCGGGAGAAAAGGGAACCCTTGTGCAGTACTGGTGCATGTGCAGATTGGTGTGGCCACCAAGGAAAGTATATGGAGTCATTTCAAGAAATTAAAAATGGAACTGTTTTATATTCCAGTGACTCCACTTCTGGAAATTTATCCAAAGACACCTGAAACACCAATTCAAAAGAATATACATACTCCTATGTTCATTGCAGCACTATTTACAAGAGCCAAGATTTGGAAGCAACTCAAGTGTCCATTAGTAGATGAGTGGATAAAACAGCTATGGTGCATTTACACAATGGAATACTACTAGCCTATAAAAAAGGAAGAAAATTTTACCCTTTTTGATAACATGGATGGACCTGAAGAACATTATACTAAGAGAAAGAAGCCAGTCAGAGAAAGACAAGTACCACATGATTTCACTCACATGTGAAATTTAATGAACAATCTAAACTAACAAGCAAAATAGAGACAGACTCAGACAGAGAGCAGGCAGATAGCTCTGGTTGAGGGGGTGGCATTTGGGGGTGGTGAACAGAGGGATTGGGCAAAAATGAAAAAAAGAGAGAAATTATCGATATGGACAACAGTGTGATGATTGCAGGGGTGGGGGTAGGAGGCGATAGAAGATGTTATTGGGGAGATAAATGGTGATGAAAAAATAAAAATTAATTTTACAAAGACAATTAAGGGGAATACTCATCAAAATCTCATATTAGTTGGAAAGTAGAAAACATAAAAATATATAGGGGAGACAGTTTTTGAAAGTTAGAGCTTACAGAAAGAAATGTCTATTAAAAGGTTTTTTAAGACTAAAGAATTATAGGCTTTAAAAGGAGATTGGAAGGTAATTTCTATTTCCTGCCTAAAAGTAGAATCTCCTCTGAACAAGTTCAGATACGTGACTATCTTACCTGTTTTAAAAGAGTTCCAAGTGAAGAAATTTTACCATTTCACAAGATAACTAATTACAGCATATGATACATTTCAATCCATTTCTTAAATGCCTTTGTTTAAGTGACATTATTATTTCTCCCTAAATATGGTGGTAATTTGTTAAAATTTGGAAACTTCTCTAAATATATTGCTTTGCTAAATTTGCGTTGAAATTAATAAGCATTTAGTAGGTCATTTGTGAATAATGATATTCTACATATTCAGGAAGTACTTGTTGGTTTGCATTTAGGGGGAAGGACAGGGAGGTGTGATATAACAAAGTTTTCTGACAAATTTTAGAGGAGGGGCCAGTTTGAGATGGTTATATCATGATTTTATCTTTAAACATATTAAGTGTGGGAAGCTGGATCCCGAGAGGGGCCAGTGCGATCAAGCTGCCCGTGAGACCCGTGGAGTCCTGGGGCACCAGAGAGGCCTGTGCAACCCAGCTACCCACAGAATGGGCAGGGAGTACGGCTCCAACAGGGCCTGAGCTATACAGCTACAGGTGGCACCAGCAACCATCTGGGAACACAGCTCCAGAAAGGCCCACATGTTCCAGCAGCAGCACCTACCAATACACACCAATACCAGCCCTCAGTAGTGAATCCTCCAGGATCCACAGCAGGCAAGAGGCGACGTGCAACAAAGTAGTCTGGAGGGCACAGTAGCCTTATTTGATATAAAATGAGCTGCCTACATGTCCAAACATCCCTCGCCACGTCTAGAGCTACCAGATGGCTAAAAAGGGAAGACAAAGAAACAACAACCAAAGGAAAGAAAAAGGGGAATCACTGGAAAAGGAACTATAGAAAATGGAAGACAGCAACTTGTCAGATAAAGAATTCAAAGCAATGATTTTAAGGGTGCTCAAACAATTTGGTGAGACCTACAAGCAACTTAATAAGAATTATGAAGAGCTCACTGGAAACTACTTCAGCTTAAAAAGAGAGGTAGAGGCTATGCATAAAGAGGTAGAAGCAATGCATAAAAATCAAGAGGAAATAAAGAATGACATAGCAGTTATGAAAGATACCTTAGAAGGGTTCAATAGTAGATTAGAAGAAGCTGAAGAGTGAATCAGTGACTAAAAAGACAAGGTAGAGAAAAACACCAAAACAGAGCAGCAAATGGAAAAACAATTTAAAAAGCAGGAGAAATGTTTAAGGGAGCCGTGAGACAATACAAAGTATAACAACATTTGCATTATAGGGATACCGGAAGGAGAAGAATCAGAGAAGTGAATAGAGAACCTATTTGAAGAAATAATGACAGAAAACTTCCCTAAACTGGTGAAGGAAAAAGTCACACAAGTCCAGGAAACACAGAGAGTCCCAAGCAAGATGAACCCCAGAAGACCCACAGCTAGACACACATAATAAAAATGGCAAATATTAAAGAGAAAGGAAGAATCTTAAAGGAAGCAAGAGAGAGACAGAAAGTTACCTACAAGAGAACTCCCATTAGACTGTCAACTGTATTCTCAATAAAAACAATGCAGGCCAGAAGGGAGTGGCATGAAGTGTACAAAGTAATGCAAAGCAAGGGTCTGAGTCCAAGACTACTCTATCCAGCAAGGCTATCATTCAAAATTGAAGAAGAAATAAAGAGCTTCACAGATTAAAAAAAAAAAAAGCTAAAGGAATTTACCACCACCACACCAGCACTGCAAGAAATGCTAAAGGGGTAGTTGTAAGAAGAAGAAGAAACAGAGAGAGAGGGAAACACAGGCATAAAATTAAAATGGCAACTAATAACTATCTATCAATAATTACCTTAAATGTAAATGGCTTAAATGCTCCAATCAAAAGACATAGGGTAGCTGATTAGATAAGAAAATACGACCTATATATATGTTGTCTACAAAGACCCACCTCACAACAAAAGATTCACACAGGATGAAAGTGAAGGGATGGAGCCCTGGCCGGTTTGGCTCAGCGGTTAGAGCGTCGGCCTGCGGTCCAGAGAGACCCGGGTTCGGTTCCCGCTAAGGGCGCGTACTTCGGTTGCAGTTTGTCCCCAGCCCTGGTTGGTCGTGCGGGTGGCAGCCACTCGATGTGTCCCTTTCACGTCAATGTTTCTCTCTCTCTCTCTCTCTCTCTCTCTCTCTCTCTCTCTCTCTCTCTCTCTCTTCCTCTCTCTCCTTTCCACTCTATCTGTAAAAAAAATGGAAAAATGTCCTCGGGTGAGGATAAAAAAAAAAGAAAGTGAAGGAATGGAAAAAATTTTCCAAGCAAATGGAAATGGAAAAATAGCTGGTGTAGCATACTCATATCTGACAAGAAAGACTTCAAAACAAGAGCCATAATAAGAGACAGAGAAGGTCACTACATAATAGTAAAAGGATCAATAAAACAAGAGGATATAACCCTGGTACACAAATACGCACCAAATATGGGAGCACCAAAATATATTTAAAAACCTCTGGAGGTCTTCAAAGGAGAGATCAATAGCAACATAATCATAGTGGGTGACTTCAACACGCCACTGGATAGATCTTCTAGACAAAAAATTAACAAGGACATAGAATCCTTACAAGAAAAACTTGATTAGTTGTACTTCATTGATATTTACAGAGCATTTCACCCCAAAGCTGCAGAATATACATTCTTCTCAAGTGCACATGGGTCATTCTCAAAGATAGACCACATATTAGGACACATATTAGGACACAAAGCAAGTCTCTACAAATTCAAGAAAACTGAAATCATATCAAATATCTTCTCAGATCACAGTGACATGAAACTAGAACTCAATTACAATAAAAACACATAAAAACATTTAAACATTTGGAGGCTAAATAGCATGTTATTAAACAACAAATGGGTTACTAATGAGATCAAGGAAGAAATTAAAAATTTCCTGGAAACCAATGAAAATGAACACACAACACACAAAATCTATGGGACACAGCAAAAGCAGTCCTGAGAAGGAAACACATAGCACTATAGGACTACCTCTAGAAATAAGAAAAATTCCTAATTGACTTTCTAACCCTACAACTTAAAGAACTAGAAAATAAACAAAAAGAAAAACCCAGAGCTAGTAGGAGGAAGGAAATAGTAAGGTCAGAGCAGAAATAAACAACATAGAGACCAAAGAAACAATTCAAAAGATCAATGAAACAAAGAGCTGGGTCTTTGAAAAGATAAACAAGATCGATGGACCTTTAGCCAGACTCACCAAGAAACAAAAAGAGAGAAACCAAATAAACAAAATAAGAAATGAAAGAGGAAAAGTAACAACGGACACCACAAAAATACAAAGGATCATAGAAACATACTATGAATAATTATACATCAACAAATTGAACAATCTAGGAGAAATGGACAAATGTCTAGAAACACACAGCCTCCCAAAACTGAA